TCTATGAGATTTTTCGGCGGGAAAATGACTAACTCGGGAACTAGCAAAACTGGGAAGCTGAAATTTTCAGGGAATGTTCCTATCCCATGTACGACTTGAGTTCATCAAATTCATCCCCCAGGCGTGCGCGGTCCTCACGTACGGCCCCGTGAGATTTTTCGGCGGGAAAATAGCTAACTCGGAAATTAGTAAAGATGGGACCCTGAAATTTTCAGGGAATGTTCCCAATCCATTTACGACTTAAAGTTGTCACATTCAGCCTTCAGGCGTTCGTGGTTCCTGCGTACGGCCCCGTGAGATTTTTCGGCGGGGAAATGGCTAACTCGGGAATTAGCAAAGCTGGGATGCTGAAATTTCCAGGGAATCTTCCTAGCTCATGTACGGCTTAAGTTGATCAAATTCATCCCCCAGGTTTGCGTTGTTCCCGCGTACGGCCCCGCAAAATTTTTTGGCGGGAAAATGGCTGATTCGGGAATTAGTAAAGATGGGAGGCTGAAATTTTCAGGGAATGTTCCCAATCCACTTACGACTTAAAGTTATCGAATTCGGCCCCCAGGCTTGCGTGGTTCTCGTGCACGGGCACTTAAATTTTTGGCGCGAAATTACTAATGGAACGGCTGGGTCATTTTCAAAAAAAGACCGCTAAACGGATATTTTTATTTTTTTTATGCAAAATTTACAATGAGTTATGGCATTGAGAGCCAAAGGTAGGTGTAAAGAAACAACAACTCATGCAGTTAACCTAATTATTTCAAGTCTGGTGCAAAAACGCACGACCGCCCCGGCTCGCCTGGTGCATTCCAGCCTGAGTTTGATGAACGACTGCTCTAACAACAGTTCCTCTTTTCAATGAACTGGAAATTTGCATTTTTATGCGTTTTTCCTGTGCAGCGCTGTAACGCTGCTACAGCCAGCAAAAACGGATATTGTCGAGAGGCTGTCTGTGTGTGTGTTCGCAAAGCGAGTGCATTTTGTCGCCCGCTTTCATCTCAGCAACTAGGAAAGCTGGGGAGCTGAAACTTCGGATATATGTTCCTATCTCGTGCGTCATCCTCCCGTTTTAAGATCTTTCTCCATACGCGCCTAAACCCCGCGTACGGGACCACAAAGGAATTTGTTGGCGAGAAACGATTTCGCGAACCAGGCAACATAGAAGGCTGAAACTTCGCAGGGACATTCTCTGTGCACGTGCGAGCTAAAAATTTTAAACCCAGCTCTCTAGCTCCCCAACCACAACCTCAAGCAGCTCCTGAATCCAACGTTAGCAACTCAGACCTGAACCGCAATTATATATGCAAACCCAGGCTGGAACGCACCAGGCGGGCCGGTGCGATTATGCGTTTTTGCACTTCTCGTG